CTTGTTAAAGTCTAAGGAAGGAGGGAAGGACTGTATCTCATGTGCAAAGAACTCGGCCAAGTCACCATCGCGGTTCTGCATAGATAATGTTTAGCTGGCCAAAGAGTGCCGCATTGTTCTGAATCACTTGGGTCTTCTTCCCCTGCTTAATAGATATTACCTTGCGTTTAGGTTTACTGCATAGTGATAGAGAATTCCTCTTGATTGGGTCGTGGATAGACTGGCTGCGCACATAAAGCACATTCTTGACGAAGTCCTTGTACTCATATCCTCCAAGGTGCGCAATGCGGCTACCACTGATTCATCCGCGCAGTTGCCACTGTCCAGAGTTACTAGATCTGAGAAATCATCCAAGAAGGGATTGCTCATTCATCTGATGGTATCAGAGAGGCTGGCAACCTGTCTCCCGAAGGTCTTCTGTATTGAGAGACCCTGCTCATGGTGCTGGAAGTTCTTCGGGATCTCTGTTTCATCATTGGGCATGTTGGAAAAGTGGGCTATTGATCGGATTTTGAGGTATTTCTCGAACATCCCACAACTAAAATGTATTCAATAGCACTGAAAAGTGGAGAAACAAAGTACAAAAGCTTTAAAAATACGCCGTTTTGATGTAAGCGGAAGTATAGATTATTGCTATACATCTTTATCCTGAAGAGCGCCCCCTAGTGTAATGTGTTGTCCAGCCAAACACCCCCCCCCCCCCCGCTTTTCGAATTTCCACGGCCAACCCCCTCACTCGCCGGCACAGATTTAAGCCACTGCTAGAAATAATTGAGATAAGTAAATGGATTTTGGGACCTTTTCGAACGATTTTGCTACAGGTCAGCTTTGCCAGTGATTAACATTATTGTTATTATTATTATTATTATTACTTATTCGACCAGGACAAATCTTACAAACAAATATGACAAATAAAAAACAAGCACATGAACATTAAAGAAAACAAAAAAGAACCAATAAAGGAGTAAGCAAACAAACCATCGAACAAATCAATTAGAAAATATTCTGCATCAATAACGGCGATTGTTTCACTTACATGAAGTTTAGGCCTTCTTCTACTATTATAATTTAACATTTCAATCATACTGAGCATATTTTTTTGAAAAACAGAACGTTCAAAAAGCGACATTTTGTGGTGGCGCAATCTTCACTGCCCTGTCTGTGGCGTCCGTCCAGTTACATAATCGGATTAACCTTGTTTATCAACGCACGATGCAAAGCCTTCGCAACCGTCAGACTGGATAATTAAGTGGCGCAAGAACGTCAAATTCCCAGAGCCTCAGGCCGGTCTCATGGAGTCGAGCGTCAATCCTGAAGGAGAAATTGTCGACTCGGACACTGCCCAGATCAACGGTTTGTGCTGCCAAGATTTCACAGAAGTTAATCGTGAAAGGCAGACTTCTGGCAGGTTACAAACAGTTTACGATACATTACAATCGCAACTTGGATTTGATCCCAGGATGGCAGCATATCGCAAAACAATAAGTGCAATCAAATCGTTCAATTATAAAACAAGAAGGGTTATTTCAAACCAAAGGCTCTTAGCTACCCATCCTGAAACTTCACTCCGCAAAAGAAAAAAATCACAAAAGGAAAGGTCACATCCATACCATTAAATTCCAGGAAGGCATCGGAAACCTTGTTAGCTGTTTCGGTGACTCACCGAAACAGCTATTGTTTTCGTTAAGATTTTTTTTTTTTTTTTTTTAGCTGTTTCGGTGTACACACCGAAACAGCTCTTGTTTTCGTTAAGATTTTTTTTTTTCTTTTTTTTTCTTTTTTTTTGCTTCTCCTTTTTCAGACTTTTTCTCCATAGGTTTTGCACACGTTTCTTCTACCCATACACTTTGGCACTTTCGTAAATCTGATCAACTTCTGACTTGGCGCACACTTAGACCACCACCCACAGATGGTCCTAGAAGAAATTCATGATCGTGACGTCATCAGGTGTCGGGTTACGTCACATTAAAGATGCATTTTTCCCCATATGTTTTGTACACGTTTTGAAACACTCCACTTTGGGCATTTTCGTAAATCTGATCGACTTCAGACTTGGTACATAATTAGATCACTACCCACAAATGGTCCTAGAAGAAATTCGTGATCGTGACGTCATCAGGTGTCGGGTTACGTCACATTAAAGATGTATTTTTCTCCATATGTTCTGTACACGTTTTAAAACACTCCACTTTGGCAGTTACGTAAATCTGATCGACTTTAGACTTGATACAAACTTAGACCACCATCCACAAATGTTCCTAAAAGAAATTCGTGATCGTGACGTCATCAGGTGTCACGTTACGTCACATTAAAGATGCTTTTTTCTCCATAGGTTTTGTACACGTTTTAAAACGCTCCACTTTGACACTTTCGTAAATGCGATCCACGTTAGACTTTGAACACACTTAGACTACCACCCACAGATGGTCCTAGAAGAAAGTCGTCATCGTGGCGTCATGAGGTGTCAGGTTACATCACATTAAAGATGCATTGTTTCCCTATTGCTTTTGTACACATTTTTCTTCAAACTGATACACTTTTCCACTTCTATACATGTATGTCTGGTTGACTTTACACTTGTCAGACACTAGTAAGACCAGCAGCCTAAGATGGTCCCCAGTGATTTCGTAACGATGACGTCATCATGTGTCACAAGACGTGACATTAAATGAGCATTTCTTCGAATCGCTATATTACTTCGGAAGTACAATTAAGTCCGATTGGATTAAAACTTGGTATGCACATTCACAGGGATGTGTTATAGATGAAAATTGAAGTGACGTCATCATCAAATGTCATGTGACGTCCCTTAAAGGGGCATTTTATTCTTTTATAGGCCTATGTCTACAGAACTATAATGTTCGATTTGGTTGTAACTTGACATATACGTATTATAATGTGCTGTTATAGATGACATTTACAGTGACATCACGGATTGTTCGTCACGTGCACAGAGTATTTTAAATATCCGAAACAGCTTGTGTTTGTCCACAAACACATTTCTAGTTTTTTTTTTTTTTTCTCCTTTTTCAGACTTTTTCTCCATAGGTTTAACACACGTTTCTTCCACCAGTCCACTTTGCCACTTTTTAAAATCCGATTGATTTCAGACTTGATACATACTCAGACCACTACCCACAGATGGTCCTAGAAGAAATTCGTGACCGTGACGTCATCAGGTGTCGGGTTACGTCACATTAAAGATGCATTTTTCCCCATATGTTTTGTACACGTTTTAAAACACTCCACTTTGGCCTCTTCGTAAATCTGATCGACCTCAGACTTGATACATACTTAGACCACCACCCACAGATGGTCCTAGAAGAAATTCGTGATCGTGACGTCATCTGGTGTTGGGTTACGTCACATTAAAGACGCATTTTTATCCATAGGGTTTGTACACGTTATAAAACACTCCACTTTGGCACTTCTGTAAATCCGATCGACGTCAGACTTGGTACACACTTAGATTACCACCCACAGATGGTCCTAGAAGAAATTTGTGATCGTGACGTCATCAGGTGTTGGATTACGTCACATTAAAGATGCATTTTTCCCCATAGGGTTTGTACACGTTTTAAAACATTCTACTTTGGCACTTTCGTAAATCTGATCGATGTTAGACTTAGTACACACTTAGACTACCACCTACAGATGGTCCTAGAAGAAATTCGTGATCGTGACATCATCAGGTGTAAGGTTACTTCACATTAAAGATGAATTTTTCCCCATAGGGTTTGTACACGTTTTTCTTCAAATCATACTTTGGCACTATATGTCTGATTGACTTTTCACTTGGCAGATGACATTTGAAGTGACTTCATCAAGTGTTCATCACGTGCACAGAGTATTTCAAATATCCGAAACAGCTTGTGTTTGTCCACAAACACATTTCTAGTTATGTATTGTTGCCATTGTCCTCTTTCATTTCATGTTTACTGCATGGGATATCAAGTTTGTGTTTGTGCCATGACAAAATAATTCAATTGAATTGTAACGGAACTTTCGTTTCTTCACTCAAAATTCTGCTTCTATTCAAATTGTACTGTCCAAACACAATTAGGAATTTCAACCTGAAAAAGGAGAAGGTAAATTGATTGAATAAGCAAAATCGCACAATTGTCCTTGGAGACTTTTTAATTTAATAATTAAAAAACGGCGACGAAGGTTCCACAATGCATAAAACAACTTAATATGAAATAGTGAAGATACCGAGGATGCAAATTATGCGTTCAGAGTTAACAAGAAAGCAGAAATATTATTGTACATTGGTCCTGTAGTATAACAATAATTATGTAGGCCTAGCCTATTTCTAAGTAGAACATGACTAGTCGCATAGAGCAGGATTATAGTCGTGTAACTTGGGTCCCATTTGCGGGGGGAGGGTCCATTCTCAAGAGAGGGCATACAATAATACTTAGTTTAAACAATACATAGCTACTTTTTTGCATTCTCCAAATTCTAAACGAAGGCACAAGGGGCACAGGCCTCTAACCAGCGCGTTGCATTAGTCGTTTGACAGAGTGCTGTGGTCAATGAGCCGCGAAAGAGATTCAGTTACGGTTTGCATTTATTAAGACCGAGTACTGGCGTAGCTATTCACGGACAACTGCAATTCACATAACAACTGCTGTCTGTTGTTGCCATAGTCACGCCGGTGACGTGGGTATACTTTTGGAGGTGGTGTTTTGATTTTGTTTGGCCGTTTTTCTCTGAGTTTGTTCTTTTCTTTTGTGGAGCTATAGTTTGATTGGTTAGTGATACTTCAGGAAAAGTCTGAGCAAGTTTCATTGGCTGAACGTGACCAGACAACTTGCAGTGGCTACGATACAAGACTAGTGCTGCTTATAACAGTCCGTTTTGGTTACAGACGCACAGATATCCAAATACACGAACATACAATGGGTCACCATTTTAATTCTCAACCGTGATATTTAAGAGTGTACCTTTCTAAGCTAGTAAAAAGTAGCCTGTAGTGTGTGCGTACAAGTGCGAGCAAAATGGAGATTGCCACAACAACCCCACTGTCTGAACTGAACAGCATCACTGAAAGTGAGAATATTTTTGGTCTCAATTCTGAAGTCAATATTTGGAATGATTCCTGTCCAGTCCTCACCATACCAGCAGAATTTGTCCACAAGTACCTCTACTCCTCTGTTGACGTAGTCCTGACTACTATTCTGATGCCGATTGCGATCTGCCTGGGCTGTCTTCTTAACGGCAGTTTCTTGTACGTTGTGGCCAGCATTCAGTCAATGCAAACTACTACCAACTTCTACTTAGTTAATTTGGCTGTGTGTGACGGGCTGTATCTTCTGTCTGCGTCCTACGAGATACGAGCTTACATCGTGTCGGGCACCGTGTCATGCAACACGGTACAAGATGGCCACATCTCGTGCGTGATGTTACTGTTGCAGTTCATCTTCTACATAGCCTCCTTGGCATTCATCACGCTGGTCACGATGGAGCGATTCTTTGCCATCTGCTATCCGATAAAGAGCCTGGCTCTCAACCGCCGCAGACGTATCTTCAAGCTAGCAGTGGGTGCCTGGCTGATCTCCCTGGTCGTTGGGTTTCTGTACATAATGCCGATCTTGTACGTGGAGAAGATCTGCGTCAACTGGCCTGACGAGGAACGTTTCGCTGACTTACCGAAGGTAGTAGGATGGTGTACTGGGTCTCTCATTCCGAAGCGTTTCACCATCTTTCCGATCATCATACGTGGTTGTAAAGCGCTTACTTTCGGCATACCATTCATCCTGTGTACCATCATGTGCATCAAGATCGTCGCGGCGCTTGGTAAGAGGCCCCTCCCAAAGAATCAAGCGGAGCGGGCTCGTCTCCATGTCACCAGAATGCTGCTCGTCAACAATACGGTGTTCTTCATCTGCAACATCCCGAGCACCGTCTTGCACATCGTCTTGTAAAATCTCTGCTCTATTTGCCGGGATGCCGATAGTCCCTGAAGACGTCATTACTACAATGATCCAGACGGCTATTGCTTGCACCCTGATCAACTCAGCAGTCAACCCCATCATCTACAACGCCAGCAACCCCCGCTATCGGCAAGCGTTTTGCCAGGCCTTCAAGACGTGTCTCGGGTCTCGGCGCGATGGCAAAGACGGACAGCAAACCTCTCAGCTATCAACCGTTGATCAGCGAAGACTTGCTACAACATCATCAAAGATAGAAGATGCCTCAGATAATAAGTAAAAGAAATTCTTTCTCTTATTGTCTTGTCGATGGGATTAAATGTATTATTGTCTAAGTTCAAACAAGCTGATATTGGAAATGTACAGCGTTTTCGTGACTAAAGTAAAAGTTTGCGTAAGCTTCCGTAGCATCAACTACTTCATGAGAAGCAACTTATTTACATAGTCTTAGTATACAAAAATAGACAAATACAAGTACCTTCATATACATTTGCAACATCTCATTTATTTCTGTGTTTTGAATATGACAAAGGACAGTAGGCTTTATATTCACTGTGTCATCCACCAACCAAAGTATTGTATCTAGACGGCCGTGTAGCGGCAAATATGAGTGTGAAAATGCAATAGACTAGGTACTCTTCACTTTTTGAAATCCAAGGTTAAAACTCATTTGAGCGCTCCAACTTTTATTGTAAGTTGCATGGTTAGTTTCGTTTTCATGATCAGTATCAATCCAGCAGTTAACGGGACACCGCGTCCTTATTAAATTAATAAGTTGTTTTAATTGATATTTTTCTAAGGTCTACTTTTTCTTCAAAGCTTTGTGTCTGTACAATTAATAATGCAACAAATTCAATATGAGGGATAATGTCACGCAATAATGAAATGAAAAGGGCTATGGAATTTCTTTTTCACTGTTGATCTTTTCCACACTGAAAAACTGCCTGCGTTAATTTTACCCAATAAAGGGTGAAAACTGCAACCACGCAGAATTGGGTTGTTCTATAACCAACTTTTGGGGTTAGAATTTCTCTTAAATTCAACCAAAACTTGTGGTCATAGAAGACTAAATTTAATTTGATTACAAGTTTTGGTTGAATTTAAGAAAAATTCTAACCCAAACAATTGGTTATAGAACAACCCAAATCTGCCTGGTTGCAGTTATTACCCGTTCTTGGGTAAAATTATAGCAGGCAACTTTACAGTGTTTATGTGTTTTAAAATTTGAACAAATCCTTTAACCCCCCCTCAACTTTTTCCGCGATACCCTTGCAAAAAAACAATTCCCCGACCCGAACTTTCCTGACTTTTTAGCCTCATGTCTTGCGCATCTTTTGATATCAAAAGCATAAAATTCCGACCACGGGTTACCGCACATTTCACGATATGCAGTGTGCACAAAGCAGAAGTACCATTGGTGCATATGAATAATTACTTAGCCGATCATTCCTAAACCCTTTAACCTATAGTCATAAAATTTCTTGGGTATGTTTATATTAAGTTGTTCTATGCACGCACCGAGTTTTATAATTTTGCGTCACTCGATGGCCGAGATCTGAGGGGAGGGGTTGGGCCGGCTGTGAGATGGTCAAAGTAACCCGGCTCCTTTGGGGTTAACTTTGTTATCTGTTCTGTTTTGTATATTTTTGAATGTATATATTCATCGCTGATTCACACATCGATGTCTCGTCGTGCAATACACAGTGGCGTTATCAGGGGTCGAGGAGTGCAGAGTGGCAATTGCAACGGGCAAGACTTTTTAAAAGCGTAATGGGGATGCTGATAGTAGCAACATCGGAACGGGCGAAGTCTAGCTGGCTAATTGTATCCGTTTATAGGTGTGGTAAATTGGGGGCAGCTAGTATCTGAAAAAAATCCAGTTTTTGGCTGACTAGCGTTGGAAATTGATACAAAAATACCACTTTTCTTGAAAATGACAGCACACCAGGCGCCATTATTTTACAGGATGCTTTAGACTGTCATTACAGTCCAGTAAGGTATTTTATAATAATTTTGTAGTTTTTGTCTTTTGATGTTTGCAAATGACTTGTGTATTCCCTTTAAATCTATCTATATATATCAATCTTATACACGTACAGCTTGATCACAATGATTAAGTTACAACGAAACTTTTTAACCATACATGGAAGCTCACATTAACAGTTCATTTTAATTTGCTCCATATTCTGCTTTAAAATCATTTTTAACCTTTTTATGTTTTTAGTAGCTCTGTTGCGTTTTTTGAGGTAATGCACAAAACGAATACAAAACTGGAGATAAAATATATACGAACTTTTTAATGACTGTGTTATGATTAGCTATCATAAGTTAACTACACTTTCGTTTGTAGGAATTTTTGGTGTTGTACAGGGTGAGTAAAAAAAGACGAAACCCAAATGTCGGGACTATTGTTTTAGTGAAGTTCTGCATGTAGCACTTTCAAAATCTAGGATATAAAAACCCAATTCATAAGCTTTCCTTTAGTACAGGAATCATTCAAATGACTCATGTACTTTTCAAGTTACGGAATTTTAAACACAACCACCGTTTTAAAGTTCTGTTTCACGAATCACAAAAAGGTAAGTGTTTTTTTCAGCAAAACAAAAACAAATCACATAGGCATGTGTGTGAATCGTTTTTGTTTTACTGAAAGAACACACAGATTATCTGTGACTCAGTCACATTCGGACGGCCATTCCAGTCGTAAATTATAGATTGCAGCGTTCTTAATTCGATTTTTTGTTATAAGTGTTAGTGCTTAGTGCGTGTATTCCGTATTTGTTAAACCCAGCGCACACCGGTTCCCGGATCACCACATCCATCACCGGTACTTTTTTCCACCGTTGTGGTTATCCGCAACGTTACTCGCACGTATGCCCGATTCCGTCCCCAAAAATTGTCACATGATGATCAGTCACATGATGAATATAGTCACATGATGATAACCATACGTGACTTCCTTCGTGAATCTGACATGGTTAACATAAATACTGCGTCCGGTGAAATCGGATCCGGTGAAATTGGATGCGAAAAAAATCAAACATGTTTGATTTCATCTGGTCGCCCTGTGTACGGTCAGATCGGTCCCGGTTTTTTTTAGCGCACACCTCTGTACGATGGCCCGATGATCTGGTGAACCGGTAAAATTGGAAAGGTGTGCGCCGGGCTTTACGAAAACGCACCGTGTCAGTTTCCATGAATCGCCAACGGTGCGTTCACGTGGGGTGCAGTTCGTGCACACCAATGCCGCGCTGTACGGAACGTGTTGGCAAATTATCTTGAGATACTTGTTTATGTACATGGCCTGAATTTTCCGTCAGAAAGAAAATGAAAATCATTCAGAGCCCGTTACATGGTAGCATTTCCCTGCAATTTCGAGTGATTTAACGTGGCCAATGTCAGTTGGCTTCTGGTCAAAAATGAACGGCGTTGGTGGACACACCGCTGTTCCAGAGGCTCACAGCGCGACATTAGATTTATGCGCATGCGCCAGTTTTTCCAGGTTGTGCTGTAAAAATAATATTTATGAGCACGTTCGTAAAAAAAAATCGCTGAGAACGGCCTTCGAAAAACTGCTCATGATGCAAACAAGAAATAGTTATTGAAGCTTTAAGATTTGTCCCAATTTAGGTTAAAAAATGAATTACTTGAGCATCTCCATCAAAGATTTTAAATGCGATGTCGTTTTTTTCGCGAAATAAGAAAAAAAAGGCCTCTGTTTGCTGAATGAAAGCCAGCAACCAGCGGAAAAAGGGTCCGAAATAAAGCTTTTTTTGCAATCAAGTAAGTTAAGTTAAAATTAAGACTGCCACGAAAACATCAATGAGACTTAATATTTTGTATTAACAGTGATTTCAAAAGAAAAAAACCTCAATCTCGCCTGCAAATGGGGGGATTTCCTGGTGGGTTTACTGAACACGGACTGTGGTTTTCGCGATTCAACTGCACAGTACGCGGGGTTTACGCGATTCAAACAAGTAGGCCTACCACCGTGCACCGAAGCGTGATTGGCCAGTGCCCCGCGAGTATACATTTCCAGCGACGGGAAAACGCGTAGTGCCTGCTATTGGATTGTGCACCGGGCGCTGTTTGTTTACATTCAGTGTATGTATTAAATAGCTACGAACGTGGCTCCATCGGTTTTTTTTCTCTAAAGGCGTCAACAGTAGTATTCTCCTTTAATTACTCTTTCCAATGGTAATTTACTTGATTCGGAATTAACTTACCCAGATGAATAAAAATACCACGAAACCTGAACGTTATTTTCCTTCCGATTGAGGCATTTATAAAGGTGTTTTCTAATCAAATGTCTTGCCGAAAAATTCACAGACTATTTGATAAACAGTGATTGTCCTTTCTCTGTCGATTTATTGTTATATCTCGAATATCATAAATGTATTTGTAATATCAAAAAGCAATTGAAAAGACGTCCTCCGGTGAGCTGTTTTTACGCAAAACGAACTGGAGAAATTCGGTCACAAGAGGGCGTTTTATACGAATTAAAGCACGGAAATATGCACACAAACCTAATGTCGCCCTGAAAACAGCAGTGAAACTTAGATGCAGGACATATTAGCATATTCATAATCATTAGCGTCACTCGACCAATGGAAGCCGGCAAAAAGGGTGATATTTGTTAATTAACAACTCGTTAAGGAGGCGTTTGTGCAATTGTTTACTGCACACCGTAATGGATAGGAACCTCATTAATATTCGTGAGGATTGAAAAGATTGATGGATATTGTGCACGCCAGTGTTATAATCAAAATTGAATATAGCGAGGCCTATTTTCCAAATTTCAACAAAAAGTAACGAACATATCACAACGACTTTTAGCACATACTTGGATCATTTTTTTTTCTTTTTTCTTTTTTTTAAAGACTTTTTCCTCATAGGTTTTGTACACGTTTCTTCCACCAGTCTTCTTTGGCACTTTCGTAAATCCGATCGACTTCAGACTTGGTACATACTTAGAACACTACCCACAAATGGTC